ATCCCAGCGCGGAGCACTAGGGGGGGGGACATTTGGGGACGCGGGGGTCCCGCTGCGGAGCCCCCCTCGGTGGAAGGGGAGTCGGGGGGTCCTGGGATGGAGCCCCCGGGGCAGCCCAGCGGCTCCAGGGGCTGCGGCAGCTCCGAGTAATAGATATTAATAGATTATTAATAGATTATTACTATATTAATTAATACATAATATAAATGATAATACAATAAAGAATATATTCATAATATATTAATTAATACATAATTTAATAGTGTAATATAAATATAATATAATAAATAATATGTTCATAATATATTAATAATATATTAATGTATATCAGTAATATATTAATGTAACAGTATATTACTGCATTAATATGTCAATATTGTATCAATATATCAATATATCAATATATCAATATGTTATCAAGGGGGTTGGAGGATAACCCCGCCCCCTCCTCCCCCCCCGGGTCACCCCAAACCCCCCCGGCGGGGCAGAGACACCCCCCGACCCCCCATCCCTGGGGGTTCCCCAAGTCCCGGAGCGGGTCCAGGACCCCTTGGATTCATCCCGAGGGCGCGGGAGCAGCAGCACCAGCCCCCCTCCCCCTCCCGCAGGACCCGAATCCCACCGGGAACAATCCCGGGGTGGTTTTTTTTCCCGCTCCCGCCGTCCTGTCTCGCTGCCACGTGGATCCCGCGGCCACGTCGCCCGCGGCCGCGCCGGTGTCGATTTACTCCCATTTTATTTATCTTCCCTTTTTTTCCCCTCTCCCCCCTCCCGGGATTCCTCTCTCCATTTTCCTTCCTCTTCCCACCGTTCCTCCTTCCCCAGTCCTCCTCAAATTCCCACCAAGCCCCTCTTTTAAACCCCTTTTCTGAACCCGGAAGGCTCCGCGGTGTCGTTTTGGTCTTGGTTTTACTCGTATTTTATTTATCTTTCCTTTTTTTTTCCCCCTCCCCCCGAGGATTCCTCTGTCCATTTTCCTTCCTCTTCCCACCGTTCCTCCTTCCCGCCCCGCGGGGGATTCTCCTCAAATTCCCACCAAGCCCCTCTTTTAAACCCCTTTTCTGAACCCCAAAGGCTCCGCTGGGTCGTTTTGGGGTCGGTTTTCCAGGGTGCGGGAACCTCGGAAGCCTTGGAAACCTCCCCGGCGCCCCGCGGGATTTCCGGGATGGCATTTTTGGGATGGGATGGGATGGGATGGAGCGGCACCCGGCTGGGATTTTCCAGCGCAGGTGCACCAGGAGCTCGACGCCAAACGCTCCCCAACCCCTTCCCAAAAAAGGGTCGAAAAGCCAAATGTAAATTTAAAATCCCCCCCCAAAAAAGACGGGATTGGGGTCGGAGCCCCCCCGGGAGCCGCAGTTTGTTGCGCACAAACCCGCGCCCCCTCCCCGGACACCTGAGCGCCGCCCTGGGCTTAATTAGCGCCGCGCTCCTAATGAGCTTCGTTAGCAACGCGGCGGGAACACCCGGAGAGACGCGGGGACGACGGAAACAAATGGGATTTTTTTTTTTTTTTCCTCCCCCAAAATCCGCGTTTTTTTCCCGCCGTGCGACGAAACCGTCGGAGCTCGGGGCGGGGGGCACAGTTTCGAGGCAAGAGCGGAAAATACGAAGGGATTTAGGGGTTCTTTCTTCCCTTAATTCCGCTTTTCCGAGGAGCCGGCGGGTGGGGAAAGGGCCGCCCTTGGCAGCGGAGCGTGGCGCGGCCGCCGCCTTTGATCCCGCGGCGCTCAAAGGGGAACCTTCCTCCTCCTCCTCCTCCTCCTCACCCTTCTCCTCCTCTCAACCCGAACTTCCTCGCCCTTGAAGTTGTGGCAGGTGTCCTCCTCCGCCCCCTTTTCCCGAGAGAATAAATAGGAAAAAAGGGGGGGAAAAGGGAACGAAGGGCAGAGGGGGAAGGACCCGGAGGAGGAGGAGGCGGTGAATGGATCCCGCCGAGCTCGGCCACGCTCGGGCGGCCGCGGCTTCACAAAGAGGAGCCGCGGGAGGGTTTTGGGGGTTTTCTGGGGGAAGGGGGTGGTGGGAAAAGCTCGGAGCTTCCGACGGATCCCGCTGGAAATTTGGGAGCTGGCGCCGGAGCTCGCGGCGGCCGCGGAGCCGCCGGACCCGCCGCTCCCGCTCGGCAGAACCTGCGGAGGCTCCTTCCCGGGAGTTTTCCTTCCCAGGAGTTTTCCTTCTCCCGGTATTTTTCCTTCTCCCAGGAGTTTTCCTTCCCAGGAGTTTTCCTTCTCCCGGTATTTTTCCTTCTCCCAGGAGTTTTCCTTTTCCCCCAGGCAGGAAAAACACCCCGCGGAAAAAAAGGCGCTTTTTTTTCTTTTTTTTTTTTTTTTTTTTTTCCCCCGCGCCGCCAAAAGTATTTCGGGCGAATTTTGGGCTCTGGTTTGGGTCGGGAGCGCGAGGGGAGGCGGCGGGAGGGGAGGGGAGAAGCTGCGGCCGCCGGGTCGGTCACGGGAGAAACTTTTGGGGCCGAATCCAGGACATCTTCCAGCTGTTCATTAACCCTCGCTCGTTCCTCGTGTTCGAATTTTAGGGTGGATTTAGAGGCTGGAAGGGCCGGGGGAGGGAATGAATGTCACAGGTGTCGTTTGTGCCCTTGCAGGGAGTGAAATTCGTATTCAACCATTATTAATATTACGTTGTTAATATTACTTTACTATGTTGCTGTATTAATGTATTAATATAATAATATATCATATATAATAATATATTAATAGAGCAATCTATTAATATTGTAATGTTAATATTACTTCACCGTATTGCTTTATTAATGTGTTAATATAATAATATATCATATATAACAATATATTAATATAATAATATATTAATAGAACAATATATTAATGCATTAATATATCAATATTGTATTATTATATTTTATCAGCCTGGTCTAGTGGAGGGTTCCCTGCCCACGGGAGGGGGGGGCGGTTGGTCTGGATGATTTTAAGGTCCTTTCCCACCCAAACCATTACGAACAGAATATATCAATACATTAATATATTCTGTAATACATATACAATATTTTACCACCCAGGGCACGCACCCGAAGCGCATCCGACCCGCGGCTCTTTCTCCTCCCCGCCGCTTCCCGGAGCAGAGCAGCGCACCATGAACCAGCCCTGAAACCCCCCGGGAACCTCCCGAACCACGCCAAAACCGCCCAAAATGAGGCTTTTCCGCCGCCGCTCCGGCCCCTTGAAGGCGGCGCTGGCGGGGGCCGCCTTCCTCCTCCTCCTCCTCCTCCTGCCGAGGGACGCGGCCCGCAGGGAGCGGGGCGAGGAGGAGCCGTGGCTGCGGAACATCGTGCCGGGCAAGGCCCAGGTGCTGGACCTGATGCTCGGCGCCGTCCACAACCTGCGGGACTCGATGCCCAAACTGCAGATCCGGGCCCCGCAGCCCCCCCGGGAGCCGCTGCCCGGCGGGGGCCGCCCCTGCCCGCCCGGGGTCTACACGGCGGCCGAGCTGCGGCCCCTCCTCGAGAGACCCCCCCAGGACCCCGCCAGCCCCGGCGCCGACGGCAAAGCCTTCAAGAAGGAGCGCTGGAGCCCCGAGGAGAGCAGGGAGAAGGAGCGGGGCTACGAGAAGCACTGCTTCAACGCCTTCGCCAGCGACCGCATCTCCCTGCAGAGAGCGCTGGGGCCCGACAGCCGCCCCCCGGAGTAAGAGCCGGCGCCCCAAACCCGCGGGGAGACGCGGATTCCCGGGAATCCGGCCCCGCTTCCCGCAAATTGGGCCCCGGTGCCTTCAAATGTCCCCCCTGTTCCCAAACATTTGGCCCTTATTCCGTAAAATTGGGTCCTTATTCCTCAAACTTGGCCACATATTCCTTTAAATTTGGCCACTTATGCCTCAAAATTTGGCGACTTATTCCTTAACATTTGGCGACTTATTCCTTAACATTTGGCCACTTATTCCTTAACATTTGGCCATTTATTCCCCTAAAATTTGGCCACTTATTCCTTAACATTTGGCCATTTATTCCCCTAAAATTTGGCCACTT